ATACGTTTTTGATTTTTTTCCCCGTAAATAGGGGGAAATAAAATTTTTTTTTTTTTTTTTTTTTTTTTTTTTTGCTTTTGAATAAAACTTTATTGAAACAAAACAGAGCGATTGTGTGAGGATGGTTTTGTTGCGGGAAAACAGAAACGTTGTTTTGCAAGATGAAACCTCTGTGACAACCCTGCTTCCCCTCAGCGATGGTTCGCCGTGTGGCGGTAATCGGAGCAGGCAGTTCGGGTCTGGCCTGCGTCAAAGTCTGCCTGGAGGAGGGCTTGGACCCGGTCTGCTTTGAAAGTAGTGATGACATTGGTGGCCTGTGGAAATTTAAGGTGGGACAGGTGGAGTAATTTTATTAGAACTTGTTAGTCAAGTTGCTACCCAAGAAAAACCTAAGGCTGTTTGGTAAACATAAATTTTCAAGTCAGGCATTTATTTTACCTCATTTTTAATTTTCTTTTAGTTAGTTTAGAGAATTGGGTTTAGGTTGATGTGTAGTTTTAGTTTTTGATTTGATTTTTGTCCTGTCTTACCAGAGGACCTTCTTTCACATGAATGTTTGGTTAAATTGATTCTGAAGGCATTCAGCTGCACTGAGTTTCACGGTTCACTTTAAAGGGAGTTAAATAGAAATGCAAACCTCTTATTTACAAAAACAAACACATTGAACTCAATTTCTTCCACTTCAGAATAATGAAGTCTTTTGTGTTTGTAAGTGTGTAACGTACAGTAATGGTCTTCTTTAAAGCTCCCATCTTTTTTTCTTTCTTTTTCTTTCTGGGCCTGCAGGAGTCTCCTGAACCAGATCGATCCAGCATCTACCGCTCTCTGGTGGTGAATACCTCCAAAGAGATGATGTGCTTCAGTGATTTCCCCATGCCTGATGACTATCCCAACTACATGCACAACTCCCTGCTGCTGCAGTACTTCAGGCTCTACGCTGAGCGTTTCCACCTGCTCCAACACATTCGCTTGCAGGTCCGTCCTGTTCCGTTGTTGCCTTTGAAAAGGCACTAGATCTCTACGTTAATGTTTGCGTTTCTGCACACACTTCAGACCACTGTGAGGAGCATTACACAAAGGTTAGACTTCTCAGTGTCTGGTCAGTGGGATGTAGTGACCACGAACAAAAACAATGAGGAAGAAAGACACATGTTTGATGCGGTTCTGGTGTGTTCAGGACATTACACCCGTCCGGTCTTACCCCTGTCTGATTTTCAAGGTATTAAGGTTACTTCATTAAATTCACACTGTCATAAAAGCCTTTGCCATTGAGCTGTTATGTTTTCTCTCCAGGACACGAAACATTCCTTGGCAGGCTTCTTCACAGCTGGGAATATAAAGACGCAGATTCCTTCAGGGGTAAAAGGGTAGTGGTCGTTGGCTTTGGGAACTCCGGAGGGGATGTTGCAGTAGAGATTAGCAGATCCGCAGAAAAGGTGAGAGCAGGACAGACACAGGAGAACTGCCACGTTGTTGGAGAAGCTAAGAGAGACGACGACGACGACGTCTAACATTCTCCACCCTCCTCAGACGTTTCTCAGCGTTCGGGACGGGTTCTGGGTGATTAGCAGAATGGCCCGTGGCGGCCTGCCCGTGGATATGGCATTGATCTCCAGGTTCAACATCCTGCTGCTGCAGCTGCTCCCCAAGACGTTAATCAACTGGGCAGGAGAGAGAGCACTGAACCAGAAATATGACCATGAACTCTATGGTCTGAAGCCCAGACACAGGTATCAGTTTGACTCGATCGACTAGTTTTGACTGTTACTCAAAAGCAACAGGAGCTGAATTCAATGCAGACAAATTAGCAAAGCACGCAGCAAAAGCTTTTATACCAGCTGGAACTGCCTGAGTTCGGTTTTGAGGACCACTCTGGCACTAACGCTCCAATCGACAAGGTCAATCAAGCGATCATTCAGAACCAGACTGTTGGGTAATGTGGGAGCTGCACCAGATTATCCGGTCAATAGGTGAAAGGGCATCTCAAATGTCCCTCACAGTATAGCGTATAAGCTCAGCTGAAAAACAAAAAAACAAATCAAGGAAAAGGTAAAAACCTTACAGCAATAGACAACATAAAACAAGGTCAAGCACCAGACATGAAATCTGGGGGAAAAAGAAGAAAAACCCAAAGATTTAGAAAATACAGAAACGACTAAATAAAAATTTGGAGGCGCTATTGCACAGCAGCCTGCAAGTAATTGTCAATAAACATCTCTTTTGCAATTTATTTCACAGACTTTTGGACAAAAGGCCTCTGGTCAATGATGATCTTCCTGGTCGAATTCTCCAGGGCGCTCTTGTCATGAAGCCCAACATACGAGCTTTCAAGGACTCAGGAGTTACATTCGAAGACGGGACAGTTGAAGACAACATTGACGCCGTGGTCTTTTGCACAGGATACAAAGGAACCTTCCCCTTCTTGCCCTCTGCTCTGTCTGAAGGGCCACACCGTGAGCTGATGCTGTACAAGTAAGTCAACGCGGAACAGTTAACGAGAAAAGTTCAGTGTTTAAGGGACAGAGACGAGATACGTCACAGAACATGAGGTAAAGCGTGTGCTTTGTATCATGAAAGATTACTTAATTTATTTACTTTTTTTTTCATAATTCAGAAGAGTGTTTCCTCCATCTCTGCAACAACCCACGCTGGCCGTCATGGGTCTTTTCCAAGTAAGGGGACCAATCATGCCGATTGTGGAGATGCAGGTCCGCTGGGCTGTTAAAGTGTTTTCAGGTAAGACACAATATGTACACACACAGTGACTTACTAAAGTATTCGTAGCCCTTCTGGCACGTTAAGCCCACAAACTTCAATGTATTTTAAAATAATTATGTGTGACAGACCCACAAAAGGCAATTCCTAATTGTAAAATTGGTTTTCAGAATTTAAAAAAATAAAAATCTGAAAGTGTGTCATACATTTCCTCCACATGCATGTGTGGATTCTCCCTCCGTCTTCCTTCCACAGTCAACCTGTCGGAAAGTGCAAATGACTTGAGACTGGGGCAAAGTGTTCACCTTTCAACACGTCAGCGACCTCAGATACAGCCAAGGCTGCAACAGAGGGCTTCAGTCAAATTCCGGTCATGTTAGAATGGTCTAGTCAAAGCCCTGAAATGAATGCAATTGAAAAATTCTGGTAGCACTTCTTTTGTGTCCTCAAATGTTTTTCCATTCTCAGGTTGAGCTAATTTGTAAAGAGTTCAAAACATCTATTATATTATTGATCTAAATTTGTGGTTTTTAGAAGAAATCTAAAAAAAAGTTCAAGAGTTCTGAATATCACTGCAAAACACTGTAAACTAATTTGGGGATGAAGAAGACGACTTGTTTAATGTTTCAGGTTTGACTCGTCTCCCATCGACGCAGAAAATGCTTGAAGTCATTGAAGCTGATAGGAGGCTAAACATGCACAGGTAGCCGTCATTCTCACACTCAAAGTTGATTTTTACGCCAAAATAAGTTCACTTGCATTCCTTCTTGTGTTTTTTTAAGCTTCCCTAACCCACAACAAGCCGTTCTCCAAGTTGATTTCATCCAGTACTTGGATTTCATGGCCGAGGAGGTGAGCAGCTCCTAACACTTTGTTGTTTCCGGCGTCTAAGACACAGACAACCGAATACTAATAAGCTTTTCCTCACAGATTGGTGTTAAACCACATCTATGGAGACTGCTCCCAACAGACCCAGTCCTCTGGGCGAAGATCTTCTTCGGTCCCTGCACTCCTTACCAGTATCGCCTCACTGGGCCTGGACAGTGGGCAGGAGCCAGACGAGCCGTCCTCACGCAGTGGGAGCGGGTTGCTGAGCCTTTCAGGAGCAGAGCGGTTCCAGAACCAGAGGTCCGGAGGTCTTTCCTCTGTTCTCCCTGGTTAACGGCGTGTGCAGGAACCATGGTCGTGGCTTTGCTTTTGTCACATAAGATTGTCCCAGTAGTCCAACGTGCCACCCAGACGCTGAGGAGGAGTAAGAGTTTTCTGTGTGATTTATGGTTCCCTGACTAACGTCAAAGACTTGAAATAATCGTCACTTAGAAGAACTGATGTAGAGTCGCTGCACCAAAGAGACGTCACATGGAGTCAGAGATAATCTGGACATGGGTTTGTCTTGTTTTGTGTTTCTTTACCGAGAACATACGAATGACAAGCTAAGATAATCAAGATAATCACTGACAAAAAAAAAAAAAAAAATCACACCCTTGTAAAGTGATACTTATTTGTCTTAAATTTCCATTGTGTATGAAGATTTGTTGCTTTAAGTTATTAATTAACCAATATTGCCTCTTCGTAGCATACATCATTTTCTAGCAGAGAATAACCGTAAATGATTTCTTTGACAATGTGCAACATCACAACTGGAAAGCCCAGATAGCAAGGTTGTTGCAGTGTTGATGCAAATGCAGTTTAAATGTCCAGATAATGGCCTGGTAATATTTATCTTATGTGGCTCTTTAGACTCCAAATTACATCGATAACTTCTTCCAGTGTTTAACAAATCTGCAAAATTCACACAAAATCAAGATATCGCCACTTTTTTTTTTCAGATTTTACTGCAAATCTTCTCAAAATTGGTTGAAAACATTTAGTTTAAGTGACTGCAGCCTCCAATGATGTCACGTTATAGTCTGTAATTGATAAGGAAAGTAGTAAGAAGTCAGATTTAATGTCATACATTTGCACAAATATAATTCCTTACAAACATTTCTAAATTGGCACCACAAAATCTGCAATTTTGACTGAAAACAAAACTAAAATAATCACAAAATCCGGGAAGAACAGCTATTTCTTGATATTTTAACTATTTATTGGGTTTTATCAATACATTCGGGCGTAAGCGGCCCTTTAAGAGCACTCAGGTTTTTGAATATGGCCCAAAACGGAAATGAGTTTGACACCCCGGCCCCATAAGGCTGAGGTTTCTGGGGACGAGTGTAAATACCAACACTCTTGTGGGTTCAGCTGCCGCCTGACTCTGACAGAAGAGTGGATCCCTCGAATGGACGGAAACTCAAACTGTGGAAGACGAATGGACACAAGGTAAGTATGGGGGCGGGAATCTCTGAATGTTTACGTCACAAAGCTCAGGCCAGGTTATCGTGAACGAACCATTTGACATCCATTTCAGAGTACGAGCATCTCTGAAGCGGCGGTTCTTAACCCTGGTCCTTGTTGTAGACGTTACCCTGCTTTAAGCACATACGAGTTCAATGCGTGGCTGATTAACAAGTGTCTGCTGAACTGCAGTCGTCTCAGTCAGATGTCTAATATCACCTAAAACACTCAGGGCAGGTTTGAGAAACACTGCTGCAAAAAGCACCTGCTAAATGCTCCTGATTGTACTCAGCTTGGGGTTAGAGCTGCCTGTCTCCCTTTCCACACCCTTTCCCAGTAATCCTTCCTGTCATAACCAGAATTTAATATGCCGGCAATTTTATAGAGTTTTCCAGCTAACCATAAGGCAGAATTTTAAATGGCAATTGTTATTATTTTGAAGCTGTAATTTAATTATCTGTAAGACGTGCAGATCCAATCAGGAAACGATCTATGGATTATGAAAGCTGCAGATCTCTACCCTCCCTCTGACAAAACACGGTTGATTGATCTGTTTTTGTGCTTGATGACATTAAATCTGATCTTCAGGCAGCCCTGTCTGCATTTCTGCAAGCCGAAACACGACCAAGTGATTAAATAGGAGGACTTGCAACTTCTCTAAACCACTTTCTCCCAGGAGAGAAAAGTTGAGGTTCGTCACCTCCGTTAAACATTTAGCTTGTGTGTGTGTGTGTGTGTGTGTGTGTGTGTGTGTGTGTGTATATATATATATATAGTGTTGCACACCAATATCTTAAAGAGACAGAAATATTTTGTATATATATATATATATATATATATATATATATATATTTATTTATTTATTTTTATTTATTTATTTTTTTATTTTTATTTTTTTTATTGAAAACTGAAGTCATACTAAGAGTAGGGATATTCTGAGTCCAAGATTAAAGGGATTAAGATGATTGCTGTACAAAATTACTCTTCAAAGTGCAGCTTTATCAAGAGTTTCTTTAAAATATAATCAATCTAACTATTATCTTAAACTGTTACATCTGTTTTTGGGGATGTGGGAGGTCAGTCAGTACTTTTCGCTGTGATTTTTAGTTTGTAATGCCAGGACTTTCAGTGTTTTTATGACAATGGTTTTATGCAGGAGTTTGAAATTAGTTCACAACATTCCTCTAGAAATATGTATCATTTTTGACAAAGACTGTGTGTTGCTTCAGTAGGACGGTGATTTTATTATGTAAGGAGAAAATTGACACAGTTCATTGAAGCCACGTTTACTAAGAGGAGGACCCTGGTTGGAACTGAAAGCCACTTTAAGCTCAACGGTTTGTGGGTTTATTAACCTTTCAGGGAGAATATTTCCTCCAATGATTTTATTTTTTTTTTTTGCTTTTTTTGTTTGATTCTTTATTTTTAAGAGGCTGAGAATCACCTGTTGGATATTAAACACTTGGTTTTATTTATATGGTGTCATTTTCTAATCCAAAATGTGATTAGAAAAGGCAGAACTAAAACGTTCCGTGCAGTGGCGGTTTCTGATAAAGGCAACCACCCAGGGCGTTATCTCATTAGAGGGCATGGGACAGCGCCCCGCGACCTTTGTCCTCTACCGCCACCCAGGATGTGAGTGCTATGGTAGCACCTAAGGTGTTAATTAACTTGTGGGGGGTGATTGATGGGAGGCGCCGGTGTGGTTGTTCGCCTGGGGCTCCTAACCGTTTCCATGCTACCAAATCACTTTCTAAGTTTTGCAAGATCAAAAGTGTGGTGTGACAATTTAATGACTGTCTGTAAACTCAGTGTGCCGTTTAAAAACCAGAGGCAGGATTTCTATAAATGTAGTTGTGTTTTCACTGCTGGTCACTTTCTCCCTCTTGTGGTCGAAAGGAAACAAGTGGTTGTTCTTTCCCGTCTTTTGATGTGTTGCTTATTTTCTTTTCAGCTTTCGTAATGTGGATGGAAACAAATACAGATACTTTTTTTTTCATGACTTCATTAATTAAAGGGAGGGAGGATTAATCTCTTGTTGTTGTCGAACTCAAAAGCTGAATGTGAGAAAGTCATAAATTGGCAGGTGCACGAGATGACATTTTCACACGTCTCAATATTTTCTAATTTATGTATTTGATCCAAATCTTCCTTCCGACACTGCTTTGTGGTCTTTAATGACAAAACAGGACCAGCCAAGTCATTACAGCAACTGAACCTTCTGCACAGACAAATTAAAGGTACACAAACTATAATTCTGATTAGAAATCAGTCCATGTTCCCTGACTTTTTTTTCTCTTCCTGTCTTGCTTCTCCTGCAGTTTAGTCTGCAGGTCAGGACTCCCTCTGCTGCGAGCATCGCTTCTTCCGTCATGGTCCAGAAGGTGGCAGTGATCGGCGCCGGCCCCTGTGGTCTGAGCAGCATTAAAGCCTG